ATGGAGACTCAGGGTTCAAGTCTCTACCTTAACCCTGGCTTCAGTAGACTCTGGGTGAATCTTATTACTGCCAAAGTCGCAGTCATCAAGGCTGGAAGGGCTTTGTGTATTTCAAACTCTTCAGGCAAATCTGATGCCCAGCTTGGGGGGGGGGCTAGAAGAAGGCTCAGTAGGGGAAGTTCCTGCCACCAAGCCCCACAGCCTAGTTGGATCCCTGGGACCCACATGGTAGAAGAGAGAACAAACTTTGGTGAAGTGTCCTCTAACTTCTGAATTCTATATGTGCGCTATGGTGTGCAGACATAGTCTGTCTATCTATCTGTCTCCCTCTCTCTCTGTCTCTGTCTCTGTCTCTCTCTCTCTCTTCCTCTCTTTCTCCCCCCCTCCCCTCTCTACAGGGATAATAAATAAAAGAACTTTTTAGTGTCTGGATGGCCAGTGAAAACCATGCAGCCATCAACACTGCCCTCCTGAAGAGGCTAAAGGCATACTCCAGGGTCTCATCTTTTTGCAGCTGGTGAGCTCTCTTGTATTTATGACATACATGCTAAGGGAGGACCCACTGCTCAGTGATCCAGGCAGGTTTTCCGATCCCAGGGAACAGGCAGGCGAAGGAATTTGTCTGGCAACGTGTATTAGGAGGGCTGAGGCAAGAAGACCATGAATTTGAAGCTAGCCTGGCATACATCACAGGATCCTGGAAAAGGAGGCGGGACAAAAGAGAATAGACTCTTCAGTAGGAGGAGGGCATAATAAATCAAAGGAAAGCATATGTGGTGGGAGGGTTCTGAAGTCTGAGGGGGTGAGCATAGGACAGCCGAACACCACAGCTGCAACACAGGAGTGACCCCTGAGCACATGGGATGGGGCGGGGCACACTTTTAAGTACACAAATGGCTGTGCAAAGACCCCAGGGTGAGCAAATGCCGGCTACCACAGCTGGTACAGAGGAACGAAAAAGCACTGGGCACCCACTTCAGAGCGAGGAAGGCGATGCATGGTGCCTGCAGTCTCCACGTCTCCCCATGTGGAGGAGTGACATGGACACCTCTCTGTGGGTGTATCAGCCCAAGTAAAGGAGGACGGTCTCAAGCTGCCTCCCAGCAGCCCTCCATCTGGCCAGCCCTCACTCAGGCTTCTCCAGGGAGAACCTACCCATACTTGAGGATGAAGAGAAGGCAGAGAAGAAGCCCGACCACCACCCACACTCATGCTGTGTTTATCTTAAAAGGAACATGCAAACGCCACCATGAGGAAGACACATGAAAGCGGAGGAAAATATGGTAGGACCATAAATTGACAATGGATTAAGGGACAACTCTTCCCAGAGTCCTGCTTACTTGGGAACCTGGGAAACTCTAACAGTCACCAGAATTGGTTTTGTTTCCTTTTGGTGTCCTGACACCCCCAGTATCTGGAGCTGATCATAGAGCCCTCTGGCTGATTAAATACTAAGAGAAAAGCTAAATGCATGTTCCCTTGGGCATTAATACTCACCGAAGAACTGTTTCATTACATGCCCAGACTCCCGGCCGGCCCTCGTGCTTCCCACGGGTGTTTTGCTGTTTCTTGGTTTTTCTTCACTACTCAAGCCATCTGCTCATGGCCTGGTGCTCAGACTGCAGCTCCTCTTTCAGGGCCCCAGCATGTTCTGAATGGCCTTCCTGCCTTATCTTCACCCCCAACCCCGAGCACAAATAAGTGGTGGTGATGCCAAGTGCACACAAGCACACATACACACACACACACACACACACACACACACACACACACACGACACACAACACACGACACACAGACAAAACACATGCTTGATCGTACACACACATAGACAAAACACATGCTTGATCGTATATACACACACACAGACAAAACACATGCTCAATCATGCGCATGCACACACACACACAGACAAAACACATGCTTGATCATACATATACACACACAGACAAAACACATGCTTGATCATGAACACACACACAGACAAAACATATGCTTGATCGTGCACACACACAGACAAAACACACGCTTGATTGTGCACACACATGGGGACATAAACAAGTATGAAAGGAGTGAGCTAACACTGCAAGAAGAAAATGAGATGAGGGATGACAAATTGTCAGAGAGAACACTCTGCTTTTGAACAGGTCCTTGGAACATCTCTCTCAATAAATCTTTCCAAACAGACAGGAGCACAAGCCAAGTGTGCTGGAACAGAGGCCAGGAGAACGTGCTGGAATGGGCCAGGCACCGGAGATCTGAATGTCTCAGGCTTGGACAAGCTCTGGTGATACCCAGACAGCTGAAGGGAGAGCTCCGGGGAAGCCAGCCTCACATTCCGGAGGGTTGCAGCAGCCAGCTGCTAGGCTGTGGCTGCACGTTTAGTTGGGAGGCAGCTGCAAAAACCCAGACCAAAAGAAGGTGGAGAAATGCTTGCCAGGGATAAACAAGCCATAGGCTTATCTACTTCCAAATCCTTGGCACGCTACTCCTTGCAGAGGTCCGCCTCCTCCCATTTGTACAATGGAGGAACTAAGCAAGGCCACCTGGCTTGATGTAATGGTATGTATGGTGTCCTTCATAGTAGACATTTTCATGGCTGTATTTCATTTGGTGACATCCTTTACTTAAGGATGTCACAAGTTCAAACCCCTTAGGAAGCCTGGGCTAATGTCTGTCCTTTTGAGCTTCCAAGAGACTGCCGTTGTTGTTGGGTTTATGAAGAAAAGCAGTTGTTGGCAAGCCTTGTGTCCATTAAAATACCAACATTTGGGGCTGGGGAGTTGGCTCTGTCAGTAAAGTGCCTGCTGTGGAAGCATGTGGACATGTAAGAAGCCAGGCATGGTGGTGTATTGTTGCATTTATCTAATTATTCTTTATCAATAAAGAGTTGAGAGTCAGATATCAGGGTGGAACCTGAATGATCAGAGAAGCAGTGCAAAGCGACCAGTGATGACCTATCTCTTCCATTCCCCCACCCAAAAGGACTCGGGTCCTCTCTGAGCCCTGTCCTATTTCTCTCTGTCTCTCTCTGTCCTCAGTCCTCCAAAACCTCTATGATTAATTTTGGTCCACTTGTAGCTAGCTCTGCCCTCTGATTCAAAACAAGCTATTGTCAGAATGTGTTCAAAATATTACACAACAGTGTATGACCATGACCTCAGCTCTGGATGGGGGTGGGGTGTGTGTGGGGTGGGGTGGATCCCTGGAGCTCTCCGATCAGCCAATAGGTCCAATGAGAGACCCTGTCTCGAATAAGGTAGAAAGTGATAAATGAAGACACTCGTGAATACAATCTCACATTGGACTTGCCTGCTTGTCAGCTACTTTAGTTCTCATTGGTAAAATATAAGCATGCCTGTGACAGCTAAATTCAGCCCAACTGGTTTGGTGTGGATTACCTTAGCTTCTAAAACAGCTACAGGTTGGTGAGGGATCAGTTTGTCTGTAATTGTTACATGTTGTCAATGTGGCAGAGGAACTTAACTGGCTACTCCCTGGAATGCACAGAACTGTCCCTTAATGTTCTGTTGGAAAATGTTCATTTTAATGTGATTTTGTCTGAGTAAATGAAAGGTAAGGAAAAGATATGTAGGTCACATGGAGTGGGCTGCCTGAGGGTCAGCGACAAGAAGACAATAAATGAACTGAAATGAGTTGCAGCCAGGTTTCCTTGGAGACACAAAATGCTCACAAGATTCTAAACATATGAACCTTAATTCAGACAGCTAAAACAAAACAAAACAAAACCAACAGAGGACAACCCGAGGTCAGACATGGTGGTATATGCTCATCGTCTCTGGAGGCAGAGGCAGGAGGATTCTGAGTTCAAGGCCAGGTATTCTAACAAACAAGCAATCCCCCTGATAGCTAAACGAAACTTTAAAAAATTAATAGTGAGGTGTATTTGGTCCTAGGATTTGACGTGCTGCAAACAAGGAAACTGTATAAAGCTCTTCCCTGTGTTTCCCAGATTCTCACAGCAGCTCTCACAGGACCCGCCCCAGGAGTAAAATGGTAACTCACTGTATCTGAGAGGAAAGGAGTCGGAGCTGAGGGCCCAGAGGCACAAGCTGTAAAGGCCCACGTGATACAGCTCCGAGCCCAGGCCTGCAGCAGACCCCTGCTTTCCCTTCATGCCCCACCCCAAGAAGAAACTCAATCACAACAGACAGCATCTTTGGCCACCCACAATCACATGCCATGAGCACACTTTCTAATGAAAAAGTTCATGATTTTTAGGGTTTGAAAATTTAAAAAAACTTTCCAGTTATTTTCCCAATGGTATTCACACCATACAATGGCAATGAGAAACAGAGATGATTTGGGTATATTTTATTCAACTCAGTCTTCCCAAAATATAATTCGATATATGATTAATATGCAAAGGTATTATCCATGAGCTATTTTAAATTATTTTCACTGAAGTTTTTTAAAAATCCAGTGTGTATTTTACAGTTTATTTAGATGCCAAATTTCAATTTGAAATACCCCTCTTTGTGTTGAGATTTCAAAACATTCATACTTGAAAAAGTCGATCCACCAACCCAAGCTTTCCCAGCTGTACATAATGGTTTTCCCAGCAATCAAACTGAAAATACACATCTAAACTAAAAATTTGGTTCCTCGGCTCCACCAGTGACATTTTGATTTGGAGGATGGCGGTGGCCCACAGCTGCATTCCCGGGGCAGCTCTGATAGGCACAGCCTCCAGGGAAACCTGATCAGACCAGCTCTCGAGGAACTGAAGGCTCTGATATGGCACAAACTATTATTGGTCATGCTTGTCGGCATTTTCTATGTAACCTAAGTGGCCTTGATTAAACATTCTCTTACCATGCTATGCTATCTTGTCAACTCTCACCCAAACTGCTTCTGACTGGGTTAGGAAGAGGCTTTTCATGGAAACCCTGAACACCTTCAGTTATATTTTTTCTCTGAGGTGCTAAACTACCCCCTCAGAACACTATTAAAGCAGTACAACTACATATATTTCATGACAGGATGAAAGGGGCCTGGGGTGTCCATTCGCATGGCATGGGTCCTGGAAGTCAAGGCAAAGAGCTCTTCATGCTGATGACCGAGCAATAGCTCTGCCATTCCCAGCGCCACCTAGACAGTCACAGGCCACAAGTGTGTAGAGCAAACGCTAAAAGCATTAGACACTAGACCCAACGATGACAGCTTAGGATTTCCTAATTACCTCACATCTGTGTGATCCTTAACATCACAAAACTCAATAATCAAAATAGATGCTAAAATCTTTACCCACAGGTGAAGAATTAGCCATGTACTCAAACTACTGCAGAAATGGAAGAGCTAAGTTTTGGAGCTGATTAAGAGTGCTCAAGCCTCTGCAGCCGTGGGACCGGTCAGGGCTGCTCCCTCACATTCTGGCCATCAGCTGTTTGGCCTGCTCCTGAAGCTCCATTTTGGCAACTGAAGAGAGGTGGACTTCGTCAGGTCCATCTGCTAGGCGCAGGGTGCGTATTATCGCATACCTAGAAATGTCAAAGAGTGGGCTCACAGAGTTACCAAAGAACACAACACTATCACGCCATGTTCACCCCAAACCAAGGAAGGGAAAGAGCACAAGGAACATGAAGACAGAAAGCCAAGGGCCTCTGAAGCAGCCATTTTAACATTCCCAGCTCAGGAAGATTCAAGATGGCTGCCCAGGGGCTCCAATAGCTCACTACGGTAACTGCCACCGGTGAGGGGAGCTCCTTCACTGTGACTAAGAAGTTTGGAGGCAGAATCAGACTGACCCACTGTCTCTACAGACCATGCGAGAGTGGGGGCACCATGGCAGTTCAGACAGAGGTGTAGACAGAAGTGGGTACCCCAACAGTGCATTAATCCTTAGAGTGGGAGCAATGATCCCAACTGAGTGATAGGGGCTTCTTCAGGGAGGGTTGCTACTTGTTCTGGTCCCTGCCCTCAGCAGTGAGGGGCCAGGCGTGTGTGCACCCCGGGAGTGAGCGGTCCCTGCCCTCAGCAGTGAGGGGCCAGGGCCAGGCGTGTGTGCACCCCGGGAGTCAGCGGTCCCTGCCCTCAGCAGTGAGGGGCCAGGCGTGTGTGCACCCCGGGAGTCAGTGGTCCCTGGTCAGATGCTGCATGTGGGCAGGCAGGGACATCCACACTCTTTCACTCTCACATCCACTCCTGACAACAGTGTGTGGGAACATATGGCCCAGGGATGGGGCTTAGCAGAAACCACACAGGTGTGACAGTGGCAGGAGACCAAAATCAGAGCTGTGGATTTTGCATGCCTAGGGGGGAACTGGACCCAAGGAAAGTTCCTCCCAACTCTCTTTTGCATTACTCCATACTCCATCTAACAGAGGCATGCAATGGAAGGAGACTGATTCAGGGCTCTGGTGATCCACTGAATGCGTTTTTTAGAATACCTAGAAGCAAGGGGAAGACAGTTCAGAGGATAAAAACTTCATTCAATGAAATAGGAAAGAGAATCAGGACCTCAGACAGACATGATCAGAAAGCATCTTCACCATGGCAGATTGTATTTAACTGCCAATGGTACAAGACAAAACGGTAATTGAATCTGCAAGAGAAAAGTACCCAGCCACAGGAAGGGTATCCTTTTTAGACTAACCACAAATTTCTCAGCAGAGCATCTAGGGGCCAGGAAGGAATGAATGTATTCTGGTAGTGAAAGGAGGTAACTGCCAAACAAGATTACAATAGCCAGCAAGCTAGCCTTTAGAATCAGAGGAGGGACACTTCCCAAAGCAACCAGAATCTGGGGATTATAACTGCCAGAAGGCCTTACAAGGAAGTGTCAGGGAGTCCTACATCAGAAGTGGAAGAAAGCACAGCTGGAGTCCAGAGGTCCTCCGTGTTTTCCTCAGGCAAAGTTAACAGAGCCAAGTTAAGAGCAGCTGTTTCTTAGAGCTGAACCCTGCAGCAACTTCCACCACTCAGCATGTCTTTATTTTTTTTTCTAAAGTTACTGTCAAGTATCTGTAGATTTAAAAACTGATTTCAATCTTTGTATTTTTAATGCCAGTCCTTTCAAATATATTATTTTGAAAATTTTTGTGTATGATGTGTGAGTGTGTGTGTTGTGTGTGTGTGTGTGTGTGTGTGTGTGTGTGTGTGTAAGGGTATGCTCGCACACACTATAGTGTCATGGGATATTCAATAACACTGTGACCTCCATGTTAGCATTTGCGTTATTTAATAAAATTAACCTTGGGTCAGGAGGCTGAGTTAGCAACTAGCTGACAGAAAGTAATCATGGAGCATCAAAGGGCATCTGGGAGAGATAGATAGGGTGCACAGAAGTAGCAGGGATGGATTTTGAGTGGCATGGTGGTTTTTGTTCTTGTTGTTGTTTTTGTTTGTTTGTTTGTTTGTTTGTTTTTTCTTTTGGCAGAGTAGAAGGACATGCTTTTTGGGAGACGCCAGCAAGGACAGGTTAGCTAGTTGTTACTCAACATCTCTGAGCTAGCAGGTTTCCACCCCAGTCTCTGAATCCTATTTGAGTCTTATTTATAAACAGAATGATAAAGATTTAGTTAAAGCTACTTTTAGTAGCAGGGACAGAGCCGGTGCCTATGGGAATAGAACTCCTGGCAGGCCGTGGCCCGAGCAGCCCGGCCACTGCCAGAGAAGCAGAATTGTAATTATTGCCCGGGACAGCAGCAGATTAAGGTGCAGCCATGGCGCTGAAGATAAAACGACAGTCTAGTGCCCGTGTGGAGACCAGAGGACAGGCTTGGGTGTTTATCCTCACCTTCCACTTGGTTCACTGTCTTGCTACCTGGCCCGCAGCCTTCTATGGCTCCCCTTGCCTCTGCATGGAAACTACAGACAGGTGCGACTGTGCCCACCTCTACCTGGGTTGCACACCTGCATGGAGAGCATTTTATCCACCACATCATGTCCCCAGCACTCAGTGCGAACATTCTTAAGTGACATGTACTCACATGTTAGCCAGAGGGAAATCCTGGGAAACGCCTGCCCCTCCGTGCACCTGGATGGCCCGATCAGCTATTTTGCAGACGGCTTTTGGGGCAGCCACTTTGATCATTGCAATCTACATAAGCAAGATAGGAAAAGAATGTTCGTCTCTCAGAACATGCCAAGTGTGCCAGGATTTGATAGCATTGGTAATGCTCTGTGAAGTAAAACAAGGAAACTTTCCCACAGCCAAGTCTCCACTGGACAGGATCTGTGGTGGAGGCCAACAGAAGGCTGCAGCAATACAGTGAGTGGCTATATTTCAGTCAGCAGTGACCTTCTAGAAAGAGATCTTGCTTCCAGATCACATTTATTTCTAAGTTGCCTTGTTTCCAAATGGATTTCAGGCAGCTTGTAAATCACACTCAGAATACACAAAGTCCAGCCTTTGCTCTGTTAATCAGGCTTTTTTTTCTCTCCTTAGACATTTAATGGGCTTTTTAAAATAAAATGAGTATGTCCTTGCTTCAGATAAGCTGGATACATGAGAAGACGGGGTAATAGATGTCTTTAGGGGAACATTTACGATGTGGGAGACTCATCCCATCTGGCCCATACCCATCATCTAGCCCAATGCCAAAGGCAGAGAGACACTGGACACTCTGGACACACCATCGATTCCAGCTATGTAGACAGCTAGACCTTCCCTACCCCTTCCTGTTCCATTTTAACAGTTCTTCGGGCATTCTGCATCCTGAAAGTCATGCCCTTAGGCAGCCCAGTGAGAAGAAAGCCAACAGGTGACAAGCATGCACAGTCTTTAAGCCAAAGACACACGGAAACTTCCTGTAATCTGAGTGTCATTGGGGGGGGGGCATAGCCCCTACATCAGCCAGTGGGTGGGAGGGAGAGGTGGAGAAGACCCTGTGGCTGGTGGTGCAGGGGTGGAGTGGGTGGGTGGCTCACCTCCTTCCTGGCGGCAGCACTGCCCAAGGTATCTATGCTGTGTGCTGCTTTCAGGGTGAGCAAGCGGATCTCCTCAATGGCTATGCGGCTTTCAGCGATCCAGTGGGCCACAACCTCCTGTAGGGGAGCCAGGGAAGGATCAGTGGAGCCCTGTAGTTGGATAAACTTTTCTAGGCTAATGGTAGTGCACAGCCTTGCTGTGTATAGATTTGAGTCACAGGCTTGAGTCTCTTGATGTACACCAGCCTAGCTACAAACCTGTGGAGCGCCACAGTTAAAATGAGACGATTGCACAAGTGTTACGTGCTCAGAAAAATAATTTGTTTTGGGGGTGTTTTAAAATCTGTGCGTGTGTGTGTGCGCGTGCGTGTCATGTGCCATGATCTCCAGGCTCGGGCTGTCAGGTATGGCGGCAGGTACTCAATGTCTGAGAAGTTGGCTGAACTGAGCATCTGTCTTATCGCCACCCTGCTCTTTGTGGCCCTTGTGATACCGATCACCAGCCCTCCTTGATTTCCCACATATGCACAATGGAAGAGCTAGGTCTAATCGGACTAGGTCATCCCCAGCGCCAGCACAGTTTCAGGGTGACCCAGCGGCCCTTTATTGTGATGTTACGCATTAAAATGACCTTTCCCGTGCTTGGAGAAGTGCCTTGTGCCTTTAATCCCAGCATTCGGGAAGGAGAGGCAGAAGAATCAGGAGTTCAAGGACAGCCTAGGCTACACACGATCCTGTCTTCAAAACAAAACAAAACACCCAAGGCTGCAGAGAGGACTTGGTGGTTAAGAACACTGGCTGCTTTTCCAGAAGATCCAGGTATAGTTCCTGACACCCATATGGCAGCTTACATCTGTAACTCCAGTTTCAGGGGATCTGATGCCCTTTTCTAGTACACATGCAGGCAAAACACCCATACACGTAATGGATGAATAGAACCCACCCCCGAACAGGCAGGAAGATCTTGTGGGAACAGCTCTGAGAGTTTAATGTGCGACACACAACAGTTTCATCCCCCACACCTCCCCAGTACAGCAGCCTGCTGGTCTCACGGCCCCTCACAGCCCCACACTCTCAAACCCACCCGCCACGACAGGTCATCCCCATGGTTCTGCCTTTTCCAGGGTGTGAAATGCTGTATAGTGAGATCATTTAGCAAGGATTTGATGGAGTATGGCTGCTTTCACCCAGTGTAATGTTTTGAATCTGACCCAAGTCCAGCTGTTTATTAACTGTCAGTGATGCTTGTTACTAAGAACGACTCCATTCTGGGGATGAGCACAGTCTGTTTGTCCGACCATCTGCTGAGGGATATCAGGACTGTGCCCACTTCTGATAGATGGAGCGTCTGTAAACATTTCTAACTTACTTATTTTTATTTTATGTGCATTGGTGTTTTGCCATTGGTGTCGGGTCCCCGGAACTGGAGTTATAGACAGTTGTGAGCTGCCATGTGGGTGCTGGGAATTAAACCTGGGTCCTCTGGAAGAACAATTAGTACTCTTAACCACTGAGCCATCTCTCTAGCCCCTGTAAACATTTCTATACAGGTTTTGGGATGAGTATATGCTCTTCATTTTATAAAAAAGACAACACCAAAAAAGGAATTGTTTGCCACTGCCTATCATTTATAAGCAATAGTTGGCTTGTGTGGTTGTACTAGGTAGTGTTTACATCCCTGAACATGATGGTCCTGGATGTTTCCCGAGCACCGGGTACTGTTAGCAATCCTTTAGTCAGAGATACTTCACTGTGGCTCCAGCCCGCATTCTTCTAATGCTTGGCACTTTTCATCTTCCTTTGATGTACTTATTTGCTTCCGGTAAGTGTTCGTGTCTCGAAGATATGCTCTTAAGGAGTAGCTGGACCACTCACAGAGAGGAGTAAAGTGAGGGAGTCATTCTGGCTTATTTTGAGAAGGGTTGTATAAAAATGTGCAGCTCTGGGAGAGAAAGACTCACAGGGAGTTCAGACACAACAACCAGAGGTAAAACACCGCCACCACGCCCAACTGACTTCTGCAGAGGCACACGAACACTTAGATGGAGGAAAGACACTTCTGTAAGAAGTGCTGGAGCAAACGGCAGTCAGCAACAGGACTCGGAAGGTCGTCTTCACATCATGACCGGACGGACTGCTCTGTGTTCCAGGACAAAGTGCAAGACCTTGGGAAAACTGCCAGATAAAACCTCCAGGACACGGGGCCAAAGCAAGACCCTCAGACTGATGTCCAAACCTGAGCCACAGAGACAATGGGACAAGTGAGAGTCACTAAAACTGAATACTTCTGCTCTGTGGAAGACCCTGTTAGAGAATGAATGGGAAAAACTCCAAAGTGGGAAAATGCTTGAAAACCACAGAGATAAAGTACAGTGCCCAGCTGGGTGGTGCTGGCGCATGCCTTTAGTCCCAGCACTCGGGAAGCAGAGGCAGGTGGATCTCTGTGAGTTCAAGACCAGTCTGGTCTACAAGAGCTAGTTCCAGGACAGGCTCCACAGCCACAGAGAAACCCTGTCTCAAAAAAAAAAAAAAAAAAAAAAAAAAAAAAAAAATTAAGTACAGTGCCCAGAATGTAAAACAAACTTAGTAGGAAACTATCCAGGTAGACAATGGGCATCAGAAATGACTCCAAAGGAATAATATGGCAAATGATGACAAGATGCCCCTATAAGGGTGACATAAACTAAAGCAGTTTGACATATCGTCATAAATCAATCAGAATGCCTAAACAAAGAAAATTGTGATGCCATCACATGCCGGTGGGGGTGTGCAGAAACTGGACCACTTATATACAGTTTGTGAGCTGAACATGCAATGACCACACTGACCAGGGACTGTTCTCCCGGCATGGGTCTCAGATAAATGCAGGGTTAGTATTCACCTGCCACCAGCCTCATAACAACCAAAACCGTAAAACCATCAATGGCACAGGTATGCCCCAGCAGATGCACAGCTCACCCCAAGTAACGCTGTACAGAGATACGCTGTTCGGCAGCACAACTGGCTACTGAATCACACAGTTTTGTGAGTCTCCAAAGAATGATGGCTCAGGAAAACAGACAATCCCCAAAGGCTTACATATTATATTATCCCATGTCTGGAATGAAAAAATTACTAAACACTGAGTAGATTATGGTTGCTAGGAGTCAATCAAGATAAGGGTGAAGCTGAAGTGAGTGTGCTTCATGAAAGGACAGCTTAAATGAGCCTGCAGTGATGGAAAATGTGTAGCCCAATGGTATCCATGACAACAGTGACATCAACCATCCTGACATGGTACTATAGTCTTGCAAGCTGTTAAAACAGAAGAGAACTAGGTAGAATAAGGGATCTTTCAGCATTATCTCTTACATCTGTACATGTGGCTATAATTATCTCAAAATGAAACAGTAAAAATGAATACTTGCTTCTCTCTTATCCCAGTGAAAATTCTCTGAGGTTCTTTTGTTGTTGTTTTTCATTTGTTAGAACTTAGAACTGACAAGGGAAATATATGAATATGGGTTCATATGTACCATATGGATGTTCCATATAGATGAACTACATGGATGTACGTACCATAAATCTCAGAAGCAAGTGGACATTCATAATTTAGTGTGGGAGCCCAGGGGACATAGTAAATGATACCAGATGATCAAAATGGCTTTTTCTGGGTTCCCATCTTTAAACGAAGAACTATTGTTTGTGAGGTTTGCTAAGCCCAACCAGTAAATTAAGGAGTTTGATTCAAGCCATGTGAACTCCCACAGCCATTTTAGGCTCACTCATACTTCTTCAGCCACACGTGGCTTCTAAGATTTGAAGTATGTCTAATCTGAATGTAAATGTAATATGAAGTATAATATAGGCACTCAATTTTACAATGCAAACTATCTCACTAATCCTATTTTATATTGATTTCATGTGATCACATATATTGGGTCAGGTAAAAACTATCTTTTTTTTTTTTTTCTGAGACAGGGTTTCTCTCTAACAGCCCTGGCATCCTGAAACTCCCTCTGTAGACCAGGCTGGCCTTGAACTCTGCTTGTCTCTGCTTCCTGAGTGCTGGGACTAAAGGCATGAGCCACCATACCTGGCTAAAAATATTGTTTTTAATAAACTTTGTCTGCTTCTTACTTTTCAAAAGCACAGCCACAGAATCAGCATGGTGGTGGCCTATAGTCCCAGTACTTGGGTCAGGACTAGCCTTACAGGTGAAAACAGGCTCAGAATTCATTTCAAGCAAGCTGCCAGAAGTTGATGATTTTTTTTTTTGAATGAAAAGCAGGGATATCACAACTTCATGAACAGACTTAAATGTACTTCCTTCTTAGCTTTTAGAATGAAGGACTGAGTTCCCGGCTGGGTTTCCTCAGACCCCAGATTTGCTAAAAAGCACTGAGGGGTGGAAATTGCAAGCTCCAGGAAACAGCCAAATGGGTTGACTAAGATGAAATTCTATTTTAGAGCTGGAACAATTTAGAAGGCAGCTGGAAGGAGACCCCACATTCGGGGAAACAAATGTCATTTTTACAAATTGAAGAAAGGCCTGGAGTGGATTCTTGTTTATGACATGCCTGCACGCTCTCTTTCTGCTTTTGCCAGCTCAATTAATTCGAGCCAGATGCGAGAGGGGTCCACTAGAAGGAGACACAGGTTTTTAAAGCCCTCGCTGGAGCAGCAGGATATATTAATGGACAGGAGAGAAACCCTCCTCGGTGCAGCATGAAAACACCACTCAAGTCAGGTGTGGTGATGTATGCCTTCATTCCAGCACTGGGAGGCAGGGGCAGGGGCAGGGGCAGAGGCAATCAGATCTCTGAGTTTAAGGTCAGCTTGATCTACACAGTCAGTTCCAGGACAGCCAGGGCTACAGAAAACCCTGCCTCAAAAAACAAATATCACTCACAATCCCCTGAGCAGAACATTTTTTTTTTTAATCAGGGGTGGGGGGTGTTAGGGGTGGGAATGGGGGGGAGCGAGACCTGCTGGATACCCGCCCTCCCCCCCCCCCCCAGCCTCCCTTCACCTTGCTCCAGCACTTACATGACCAATTTAGAAAGATATTGGGAAGAAGTTGTGGCCAGTGCCATGAGTAACTCAGGAGACCTCTATGACAGCCACAGGGCTTTACTTATCATGACCACACCTCCTCCCATAGTGCTCATCAACCGCTGATTCCTAGTGTTCTCTGTGTACCAAGGGGCTTCCCATAAATTGTTGCTGGGTATGGTGTCATGTGGCTGGCTGCATTCTTCTTAAGAACAATGTTGTGAACAAATCATATACATGTTGAGCAAGCACAAACAACACTAATATTAGTGTTAATTGTGTTTTTGTAGATCCCTCCTTCCAGCCCCTCCTCGGCTACAATGCGGCTGTTATTAACATAGCAATACCAGCACTGCTCTCAGAACCAACCCTGAAGATGGAATACTTAACGAGACATAAACATTGCCTACAAAAATCAGAGTGAAAGCTGGGTGTGCTGGTGCACACCTTTAATCCTAGCACTTGGGAGGCAGATGCAGGCCGACGTCTGTGAGTTCTAGGACAGCCAGGCTTACACAGAAAGATTCTGTCTCAGAAAACCAACAAGACAAACAAACCTAAGCAAAAAGCTGCTGTGGCCAGGCAGTTGTGGTACATGCCTTTAATCCTAGCATTGCAGAGGCAGAGACCAAGTGGCCAGCCTGGTCTATGAGCAAGTCTAGGACAGCCAGAGCTACACAGTGAAATCCTGTCTTAAAAAACAAGGAAGGAGGCAGGGAGGGAGGAAGGAAAGAAGTAAGGAAGGAAGGAAGGAAGAAAGAAAGAAAAGAAGAAGGGAGGGGGAGGGAGGAAAGAAGGAAAGAGGGAGGGAAGAAGGAAAGAAGGAAGGAAGGAAAGGAGGGAGGGAGGAAGGAAAGGAGGGAGGGCCTCTGTGAAACGTTCTGAGGTCATAACTGTACAGGGAACTCAGGCAATAGAACACACATATGCAGCAAACACAATACTTCTGTCAATACAAGCAAGACCTAATATTAGCATGTGAGCAACAGTAAGATTAAATACCTAATACTGAGTTTTCTTGCTTTCTTAAAAATTAGGAAGGGCTTGGGGGCAGGGCCTTGGCTCTCCCTCTTTAGAAGGTTCTCCAGAGTCTGCAGCCACACATGACTTGATTTTACTGCCTGTCTGTAAGTATACTTATCCTGGGCTGTAAATAACAGATTCAATAGCATATAATTTATAGATGAAAATGCAAAAACCATGTACCTCTGACCAAATGCTGGTTTCCTCCATAATCAGCCACTTCAATTGTTTTAATCTATCATAGAATATTCCTTCTTTCTCTGAGTTATGCACTGTTATGGACTAATCTTTTTGTGTACCGCAAAGATGTGTGTTTGACAAGGTGCCTTCTGATTGGTTTAAAAAAATAGCTGACTGGCCAATAGCTAGGCAGGTAGGTAGAGGTTAGGTGGGGTTTGCAGACAGAAAGTTAGGGGAAGAAGGGCAGGGTCAAATAGGACATGAAACTGCCAAGCTGACAAAAAGTACCACCACGTGGTAGAGCATAGATAAGAAATATGGGTTAATTTAAGGTGTAAGGGCTAGTTAGTAACAAGCCTAAGCTATTGGAAGAGCATTTATAATTACCACTAATTCTCTGTGCAGTTATTTGGGAGCTGGCTGATGAGACAGAGCTGACTGGCAGTCCCGATGAAAAACTCTGCCTACAGTGCACTGTTTTCCTCTGTTTACACTTATCTGTTCTAATTCTTTCCCCAAACCCAAAGTACAAGGCAAGTTCTTTTTCCATGACAATGCTCCCAAGTCCTCAGTGAGCTGTGATGTTCGAGGCTCTCTAGACTCTCTACACTCCATGGGCTGGGCACTGAAGATCAAGAGTACTTGCTCATCTTTTACCAGGGGAAATGCAGCTTCTCACTTGGGGTATGACCACGCCCACAGCAGAGATGCTTTTCTCACTGAGGTCAGAGCAGCTTAGCAGGCTAGAGCAAGTCCAAAGACATTCAAGATCCCCTTACATGTTCGTACAACTTCTTCTTGAAGGCCTCCCTCTGCATTGCCCGCTCACACATGATCTGCAGGATGCGCTCTGCCAGACCCACGGATCTCATGCAGTGGTGGATTCTTCCAGGTCCAAGGCGGCCTTGGGAAATTTCAAACCCCCTGCCTTCACCTGTGAGAAAGCAAACGAAACATGAAGGTGGCCCAGGCAGGCCCACTTATCTACATGAATTCTAGGACAAGCGGAGCTGCCCTTATTGTAAACAGTCTTCTGGTGAGGGAAGAGTCGAGTTTGCAATAATGTTCATTATGATGTAGGGGGATTTGGATTCCAGTCTAATGTAAGTACCGTCCCTGGAGTAAAGCATCAGTTGCTTTATTAGTGTTACAATGGCTACCAAGGAGGGTGAAACACAGGCTCTGCCTTAGGAATCTACAGTCCAGGGGGGGAGGGAAGACAGGACATGGCTAAGGACAGGACAGAGAGATAAGGACAGCAAAGGAGGGACTGACTGTCCTCCACTGTAATCCCAGGGCCTGTCGGCGGAAACACTCTTTGAAGGTTGAGGAGGTTTCCAGTGAATGGAAATAAGGAGTCATCTCAGGCAAGTGGTGAACATTTACATTTTTAGTCTGTTTATTCTCTTTTTGGTCTGAATTCAAAGAAAGTATTGACATTTTCTTAAAACTAATAGGGAGCCCCTGGCCATGCCTTTAGAAAAGACATGTTGCTCTGAATTGGACAATGTTTGTATTCAGCCATGTTTCCAGCTGGTATAAAATAAAAAAATCTCTCATTTAACATTCAGATAAAACCATATCATTTCAGATAAGAAAAACAGACAGAATGAGCATATTCCTTGATAACTGGAATAAGATGGGAAGTACCTAAGTTAAGGTTGTGTATCTTTTCCATATGCAGACCTGGGGACAGGAATTCACAACACTGGGGGAGGGGCTAATACTCACCCAGTATTAAATTGGTAGCAGGAACTCGCACATGATTAAAATGGATCTCCCAGTGCCCACCATGTATATTATCTACAAAACAGAAAATAATAATTTACAATACAATGAGCTGAATAAAGGAGTCATAGATAGTGACTCTGCTATAAAGTATTCAGTGAAAGGAACATTTCAAAGATGACTATATTGTGGACACACCAGGGTAGAACTCAGCTCTCAGCCCACAGCACTTGATGTCACAGCAAACTCAACTGTTGGAGTTAGAAGAAGTCTGAAAATCTGTCCCCTGAAATTGCAAAGCTATGGAATGGAGGACCAAGTTCCATGGCATGCACGTACATAAATGTAACCCAAAGATCGGTGGCTTGGGGGAAATGATTTAAAAAAAAAAATCTGAAAATCCAAAACAGGTGCTATGGAGACATTTTAGCTGGTAAAAGGCCTGCACAGTGCCATGAAGAACTGAGTTCAAATCCCCAGCACCCACATAACTTCCAGGCATGTTTGTGGCCATATGTAACCCTAGCAGTGGTAAGGCAGAGACAGGCAGAGCTGGAACCCTCTGGCTGTCTTAAAGGTAGTGCGTTTGGGTTCAGTAAGAAAGTCTGTCTTAAAAGTCAAGGTTGAGAGTGACACTGGAAGACATTTGATGTTAACACTGGCCTCCACATGCATGACCATACATGGGCATGCACACACACATGCACACCAGCCCAATACACCACACCCAGAAGCTTGAAAGTGAGGAACATTTCTGGAGTTTGTTTGTTTAGTGCTGTGAGAACTGATATCTGAGAATGCTAAGGAACTTGCTCGAGCAGGCTCAACAGACGGCAGAGCAGGAATACAACCACCGTTTCTGCCTGCCACCCTTGGTCTGTACTACCTCCACTGCTCAACGATGGCACCTGTATTACAGGGATCATGGCTGCATTCCCACCTCATCTGAGTCATCCCTCCTTCCCGTCAATTCTAGGGACAGTCTCAGGCAAATTCCACCCCCTTTCCTTGTCACGGTGGAACAAATAGTCAGCCTTCTCCATGCCATTTCTTCTGGCCGTGGGCTACAGGGAGTTGGCGTGATGCTGGTGCACTCGTGAGACTGAAAATACGGAGGTGGGCTCTGAGGCACAGGGTGCCTAGAGTTAGCCCATATTTTAGATTCATTTTTGGTGTCTTCAGGTTGTCACCTATGGTTGTTTGAAAGAAAATGGCCCCCAAAGGGAGCGACGCTATTAGGAGGTGTGGCCTTGGAGTGAGTGTGTCACTGTGAGGGCGGGCTTTGAGGTCTCTTTTGCTCAAGCTTTCCTCAGTGTCACTGCCAGTGGACTTTCTGTTGCCTGCAAGATGTAGGTCTCTCAGCTACCATAGCATGCCACCATGCTCCTCATCATGATGATAATGGGCCAAACCTCTGAAACTGTATTTGAGTTACCCCAGTTAAATGTTTTCTTTATAAGAGCTGCCATGGTCATGGTATCTCCTCACAGCAATAAAAACCCAAACTAAGACAGAAATTAGTACCAGGGACTGGGGGGGGGGTGTTGCTGTGATAGGCCTGACCGTGGCTTGTTTGGAGGAATTTAGATTTTGGTACCTTGGGTTTGGATATCAGAGAAATGCTTTAAACACTGCTAAATGAGTCATCCTAGTAGGAACAAATGAGACAGAGATGCTAAGAGGTATTTGAACTGTAGGCCCATTCAAGAGGATTTTTTAGTATGTTGTCTAGAGATCATTCTTATATTTTGGGAAGAAAAGGCTGCCTTTTGCCATTGTCCAAAGAATCTGACTGAGGCTAAAGTGAAGAATTTTGGATTAATTCCATTGCCAGAGGAAATCTCAAAACAGCCTGCTTTAGACTCTGTTGTGTGCTTTTTAATAGCAACTCTAATGAAGATTTATAATGAAAAGGAGGAAACTAAGCAGGGTCAATTACAAAATGAAAATTTTGAGGAGAAAACAAATACCAGGAGGTGGGATGGAGCTAAACCCTGTGTTCAAGGAGATAAAAGAATTAATAAATGAAACACAGGGAATGCGGACCTCAGGGCAAGGTCCCACCCAGCTAAATTTCCCATTTATGGAAGGGAATGAAAGATAAGCTTGGAGCCAGGTGTGGTGTGGCAAACCTTTAATCCCAGCACTGGGAAGGCAGAGGCTGGTGGATCTCTGAGTTAGAGGCCAGCCTGGTATATAGAGCAAGTTTCAGGACAGCCAAGCTTAGGCAGTAAAAGCCAAAAAATTGGTAAAGATGTAATTGAACAAGGGGGCCATGTTCCAGCCCTTGCAAGCAGCAGAACGTGGCAGCTTTGTCCATGTGGTTCTGTATTTAGAGTTAAGGATAGAAGCAAGAAGTTATGGGATAAAGCCACTGAGCCCAGGTGTGTGTGTGTGTGTGTGTGTGTGTGTGTGATGTCCACCTGTCAGCTTGTTTGTCATATCTTGTCCCCCGTACTTTCTCTGTCATATATTCTTCTCCTTCTAGCTTGTTCTACAGAGCTAATGATGGCAACCGTTCTATAAGACTCCTATTCAAACTTGTCACCAGTCACATCAACACAGAGCCCGAAGTCTCGCTGACATGTCCATAGCCTGTATCACTGATAACGTCCTAACTTCCAATCCAGGATGCTTCTCACCTTTGCTTCTTTTGCTCCCTCAGTGTAAGCTCCCAATGGAAGGACCTTAACCTACGGCATTCACAAAACCTCTCAAAGAGTGGGTGACCTCAGTGGCTTGGACACAGCAGGTGTGGGGCCCATGGTGAGTAGCAGGAAACAAGTAGCCTTACTTCTTAGAGATTCTACCCAAGGTCAGAATCAAAGGAAATGTTTTGTGCCCAAATAAATCAAAACTCATCTTATTGCTTACTAACCTCTTATTGGTTAAGAGACCTGAATACAGAGATAAAAAGCAAATAAAAAAAATTTTAGTGGATTATGTCAAATTGATCCCTTGAAGTACCAGTAGGGATTAATTTCCAAAATGAGAAAATAAGAAACTCCCGCTGCTTACTCACTTTCAATGTTTTGGGGTTTTTTTGTTTTGTTTTATTTTGTTTTTTGTTTTTGTTTTTTGAGACAGGGTGTCTCTGTATTGCTTTGGAACCTATCCTAGAACTAGCTCTAAAGACCAGGTTGGCCTCAAACACAGAGATCCTCCTGCCTCTGCCTCCAGAGTGCTGGGATTAAAGGGGTGTGCCACCAACGCCTGGCCACTTCCAATATTTTAACTGTTGACTCTGTTCTTCCTCACAATCGAAGTTTCCTTTCTAAGTATACTTTCTAAGTGTACAAACACACATATAAGAAGGCTGCAAGTCAGTATTGTTTTCCGAGGAATACCTGCCCTTAAAACGAGACAGGAAGCTGTGCTTATCTGCTCTCTGGACCTTAGCTAGCACACTGAAGGGATTCCTGAGGTTGTCTTATGCTTGACAGAACTGCTGACTCCCTTTCGTGTTTCTGCAGACTCCATCTTCCTGTGTGCAGTGCATAGACTTGCTCACTGAGCGCTTACCCATGTAGCCAAACACGGACAGAGGCCTTATCATCTCTACTCCAGGTGTGTCCATTGGAACAAGAATCATGCTGTGCTGTTTGTGTCTGCACAAAAGAAAAACAGCATTAGAGTGCTAAGGGTTGAGATGACTGTTGTTTTCATGGGGTCACATGAGCAAGGATGATTGGAATGGTACGCGCATGAACAACATACTCAGCCCAGTCTGTCTCAGGCTGTGCTCTGGAACACCAACAATGATTCAAAAACAAACGGAAGCTGAGGCTCCTCACTACTCAACAATGGTGAATGACAACTGACATCCAAAATTAAACATTTTAAGACAATTGTCTTTAACATGCACATCCGAAGGCCTCCATATTTCGGGCAACCCTGAGCATTTTTCTTTCTCTCCCTCTCTTCTATAGCGCCAACGATTGGATACTGTTCAGTGTTCTCTACTACTGAACAATGGAAATTTTAATTTCTAATCACTTTATCCAAATATCTTTCAAGATTCATGAACGCTTTACCCTCCCTACCCCTGCTCCTTCGGTTTGGTCTCACTACATCCACAGTCTGGCCTGGAACTTGTGTGTGGAGCAGGCTGGACTTAACTGATCCTCCTGTCTCCATCACCTCCCTTGTGTTAAGGTCACCGGCCTGTACTTCCAGCCACAGCAGCCACTGGCTAACGCCAGAGGTTTCACAGGAAGGAGTGTGCAGCTTCAGTCCTTAACTTGTTTTCCACACAGACTTGGAAAACCAAATACTTGAGATGCAGATTTACAACATCAATCATTAGCAAATCTTATATTTGGTACATTATAAGTGAGGACATGGACAGAAAGAAGACCTGTCTCGCCCTTCCATCATCTCTCCATCAGAACCACTTCATTACCTGGATAGAGAAGCAGCTTCTGTTCTTCCCAAAACAATTGCAATTTTACACTTGGGGTTCCCAGCTCCTAAGACCAGGAGAAAATGAGCAGGGTGAACAAAGAGGAAGCTCTTATTTCACATTTCACTTTGAAAGCTCTACTCTCTTCAAGTTTATTTCTGGTGAAGAGAAGGGGTGGGGAGATATTATTTGATTCATTAAAATGATAACACTTTGTAGATGCTGTATATCATTCAAGAAGAAGGATTGGGGAAGGACAAGACTGGACTCCATCAATGAAAGCTGCTGTGCCAAAATAAACAGATGTCAAAGCAACAGAAACAGATGTGATGCTCGAGGCAAGAGTGACCCTGCTCATTCATGTCACTTTAAGCATTAGCTCCCTGGAAAGGCTGCACAGTGTTTTTAGTCTGATGTCATATCCCAGGCTCTGACCCCATCTTCAAATGGTGAGGTTATTCATTAGTTTACTAAGGGTGAAAATTAGACACCATAAAGTTATACTAATTTCAATGTAAAATCTTATTTTTTATCACACTTTAGGGTTTGTGAGAATTCCTCCTTATGACCTTGCAAAAGCGCACACTGAAGGGTCAGTGAGATGACTCAGGTAAAACTCACTCCTGCAAGTTGTCTTCTGACCTCCATGCGAAATCATGCATGTACTTGTGCATGCATGCACACGCATGTGCACACATGCACTCACACACACTTAAATGCATTCATTTGAAAAACAAATGTAATTCTTAAAGAGGTATACTTTGTAATTCTATACACGTAATTCTTAATGAGGTTTACTTTGTAATTCTATGTACCTGTTCCCTTGAGGAAACTACCAATTGACTGGCTTTTCAGTTACATAGTGGAAAAGGAAAACTGTCAGACCACTGGCCATATCTATACCAAGTCTCAAATGATCAGATTCTCTCTTCTAATTTTCTTTATACAAAGAGAGTTCAATAGATTTAAAGTCAAGAAAACATTTAGTGAGACATACAAGAATTATGTCAAATAGTTTTAAAAAATCCATAAAATTCCAGGAGTTGGAGGGGCAGCTTGTATATTTTAGAAGGGATTTAAAAGGCTCATCAACCAACAGTGACTTTTGGACTTCACATGGATCATCACCTGATACAGCAAAATGAAGAGTATTAGTGTCAACTGTGAAACAACCCAACAATTGAACTCACTGGATCTGTTACAGCATTTAGTAGCTTAGGCGTGCTAATGGTATGTGGTCATATTTATAAAGAGCCCTTGTTGAGATACAGACTAAAACATCTGTGAAGGAATCCATGTCACACCTGGGATTTATTTCAAAATAATACGGAGAAAGGAAGCAATGGGAATAGAGACAAAATAAGACTGGCTGTGATTTGGAAAGTATTAAGTCTCAGCACGACTCGAAACCAATCCCGAGAGAATTTCCATGTGCAGCAGGGTTACAAAGGAGAAGTGTGATGCTGCCACGGAGGTCCTGGGAACAGCAAGTGGAGACTGACTGTCCCAGCAAACGGCTGCTTTACGGCTTCAGACCGGAAAGGCTGGGAGAGGATGCAGAGGAGATGCTAAATGGTACTGGGAGAAAGATGACCAGGCAAGGAACAGACCAAGGCAGGCGTAGGAAAGAGGGCGAGGGTGGCAATGGAGGGGGGGGGGCTTGGAAGAGTGTGGGTGCCCAGGGGGACTTAGCAAGGTGAGGGCGCCATCAGAGACAGAGACAGAGAAGGCTTGGAGGCAGTCTGCTTTTCACACCAGCACTTTCATCTGAAACGCCCCACACTTGATCTGGCTCTCTCCAGAAGCCGCAAGGTGAAGTGCGTACATCCCTGTAGCTCTCGCAGCTTTTCAGTCTAACCGAGAAGACATCAGAGAAACAGGACACGATACCCCAGAAACAGACCACACATGAAAACCAAGCCGAAAGCTTTCCTAAAAACAGTCTGGAAGGATTCAAAATGGCAGAATGGTGTCTGCCCCCACCCCGATGCTGCTGAGATTCCCACTGAAATGCCGATGTAAAATACAAAGAAGGAAAAACTGTAGAGAAAAGGAAACAGGAAGTAAAGCAGGATTGGGAGGCTGGTGGCCACTAAAAGATGAGCGATTCCAATAATATCAGGGAAACAGGTGAGGGCAGGAACACGGGGGGGGGGGGGTTGCGGGGGAGACACCAGTGTTCTGCAGAGGGACAGGGCAAGGTCCTGTGAATGTGGTCAAAGGCTCAACTAGGGAAATGGAGCAATTTGCATTCCCATAAGATTATCCCACAACAGATGTGGAGTGAGGGGAAAGCCTGGAACAGAGTGGACATCATCAGAAAGCTGCCGCTGCTGCTTGTCCTCCAAGGCATGGGGCTGCCATGCGATGGGATGGGGAGGAGTAGGCTGGTAAATCTATTTGCTACCATTTCAACTAGACAATGGGAACTTAAAAAATGTTAACAAAACTAAGCTGGGTGTGGTGCCAAGCTGGGTGTGGTGCCGCATGCCTGCAATCCCAGCACTTGGGGGCGGGGCTGAGATGGAGAATCCTAACTAGAGTGGGCTACACGGTGAGACACTGTTCGACTCCGCCCCCCACACACATGCAAAGATGAGAGCAAATAAAAGCCCATCATCTTATATAAACAAATTACAGATTCCAGCTAGGAGAGGGAGACTAGATGTGGTTTTCATTTTTCTCTCCCCATTTTCCTTTAATCTGGACATAAAACCCACAAACAGTGGGGTGTCATTTCCTGTTACAGGGGGGCATTTCCTCACTTGCGTGTGATTATGTGTAATTTCAGAAATCCTACATGCACACTCTGCCTAGTAAACCATTTGAATGGATTTTAAAAGCACAAAATAGAGAAAGGGAAGGCTCGGGGAAGAAGCCAGTGGGCTCTAAAGTGAGTGACTCCACTAATTCTCAGGTTGGCATTAAATCAAGGGCACACCTCAACTGGACTTAATCTCCACAGTCACAGTCACCAGAATTGTCTGAACGTGCAGTCACAGATGTGTACACATGCCGCCTACGGGTGACTAGAAAGGGAGTTGTCTTCTAACTAACTGAAACAAGAAACTTAAAAATCAAAACTGGCCAAAAAAAAAAAAAAGATGTTACACTATTATTAGGTAAAAAATAAAAAAAAAAAAAAAATAGGTTAAGCACAAATTTCTCTCCCATTTCTCCCAAATACATGACTTATCATCGGCATTTTGTGTGCAATAAAATGTAGAATCATTTTCCCACCCTTCTGGGCATGTGCAACATAATCTTATTACTAAGTCCAATTGTTTCAAATAAAGTGAATTGGAAACTATTATATCAAGAGGGAATGCGTGTTTTTTCATTAAAAGACAAGCATTTACACAAGTAGAAATAAGAAAAATGTGAAGCTATTGAAATAAGACACATTGCTATGCCTCAAGTAGCCCCGCTGTCTTAGAGCTGGCTCGACACCACAGAGGGTTCGGCTCAGCTGAACACACTATGTGGCAACCAAATTCATGGTTTAAATGTTAAATGTCCTCTCATGCCCCTGTGTTAAAAAAAAGAGCCTGTTGCCGGGGTAGCACTAATAGGAGGCAATAGAGGCGTGGATGGTGGGGTTTCGACATTAAGTCATTTGGAATATGCTGGAAAGGGGACCACAGGACCCCAGTCCCATCTTCTTTCTTGTTTACCTCATGGCTATGGCTAAGTGCTTTGTCCCCACTCTATCCCTGCAAGCTCCACCCCCCCCCCCAATTGCCATTGAGCATCTGTTCCAGGGGTCCACAGCAATAGGGCCATCTGGTCATGGACCAGAGTCCCTCCAGCCATGAGCAGGGACAAACCTCTCCTCCATGTTAATCAGCTCAGGCTGATTCTCCATGCCTGATACAATACGCCATCTCCTTAGTGAGCTCACTGCTGAAGGTTGGATCAGGACATACTGACATCATTTTCATTACACGTTGTATCAGAAGCTGAAGCCTTCAAAGGGGGCTGGAGTGGGGGAGGCTGCTAGCCTAGCCTGTGTGAGGCTCTAGGCTCAACTCCCAACACAGCATTAAAATAAATAAATAAATAAATAAATAAATAAAACAAAACTTTAAGTGGCAGAACACACCAGTGATCATAGAACTTGTGAGGCAGAGTCAGGAAGATTGGAAGTTCAAGGTCACCCTGTTTCATATTGAGTTCAAGGTCAGCCTGGGCTACATGAGGCCATGTGTCAGTAAAACAACCAGGCCCAACATTTTCCACCATTCCTGGAACTCGGGCTCACAACCCTCTTTTTTACTATTTAGAACAAGAACCCCCCCACCCCATGTTTCCTAATACCATGCTTTTCAAAATGAAAAAGATTTAGGCACTTCTTCATATAAACCCCCAATAACTCACAGATCAATTTTAAGAAACTCAAAACATTAGACAAACAATTCTTTAATTTTGTCTTATCCATTAACACATGGAAAATAATCTGGATTCTAAAATATAAAACATCTAACTTGTCTCTTTTGCTGATTGTTAAGTAGAGGAAGTTAGGGGAAATACACAATAGACAAAGCTTAAAATATTTTGCCATTAACCTGGCTGATTCAGAAGAATGAGACGCAAATCCTCATAAATACATCATCTCTCCAAGCACCACACAGAACTTGGCAGGGGCAGCAGCTGGAACACCCTTCTAGAAGAGAGAATCCCCTTCTTTTACGTATTTTAGTTGCTGAAGAGGATACATAATGTCAGAAATGAGACAGGCAAAAGGAAATGCAGAGTCCAGAGAACATGCCAGCATATCTAGGGGTCACAGGCCTTGTGAATGAAAACAGATACCCAGATAAGGATGTTTGGTCTTGATACACTCTATCGCAAGACTGCTCAGGTGCCAGCATACAATCAGACTACAAATTCTATACCCTTGAGCTTAACTTCACAGGCTTTCAGTTCACATGCTTATCAACCAAAGGTCAGTTTCCTACAGAAGGAAAGATGACAACTAGAATTATCATGGCTGCTGTGGATGTGATCTGAGCAACCCAGGAAGTGACATGAACACATGGTACCACATAAAGCCTAGCCAGACACTGG